TGAGCTGAGTGCGGGTAAAAGGCGCGGCTGAAGCTTCCGCCGCCGAATCCCGAGTTCAGTTACATGTGAAGGCGTTTCCAGCTGGGCGGGCGCCGGGACCGGACAAACCGAACGGCACGTCAGGGGTTGGAACTAGATGAGCTTTGAGGCCCCGTGTGACCCGGACCACTCTATGATTGTATGAGAGGGTGTTTTAGTTACTAGATTGTCAAGATCCGGGGGGAAAGACACCAAATAAGACACTGTTTTTTTCTGGCAATAACCAGGTAGCCTTTGTAAGGCGTAATCGGTTAAAGTTAGAATTCATACGCGTCTCCTACTGACCCAGACCTTCGGGTCTCGAGCCCTGGACCAAACGGGCCAAGGGGACAGCTGCCGGGGGTACCGGGGTTGGTGAAGGCCTGCGCGGTTGTTGCGCAGCAGAGGGCGCAGGGACCCTCCGGCTCTGCCTGTAGCGGCGCGTGCTGGGGTGGGAGAGAGGGCACGGACGGGTGTTATTTAACCGCTGAGCAGTCATACCAGTGCCCCACCCAGGCCACTCACTGCTGTCCTTAGACAACTTGTTTTGTAAGTGCACTGCCTGGAAATTATTTTATAACAGTTACAAAACAGCCTCTTTACTGTTTCCCATGTTAAGAAGCACCTTCTGTAACAGGCAGGCTGTTCCAAAATGGAAGGGTTTCAACTTAAGTGTCTTGGACTGTTTCCCTTACTCATTCCTGAAATAAAACCAAAGTGATATGCAAGATTAATAAAGCAGTAAGAGATCAGTTACAGTAACAACCTAGCCCACATGCCTGGCACATCATCAAACATTTTCTTAGAAAATTCTAAAGATAACAACGTTGAAAGTGTCCTGAGTTGTGTAGAAATTGTATTTTTTTCGATCAGGGAGGGAGCAGGACAGCATTTCATGGCCACAGCTCTTGACCAGTAAGTGACTGTTTTGTACTCATGACTGCACAGTAGTCACCTCACTGGAAAAGGCTGAGAGGGAGATTGCCCAGAAACAGGGTGTTTCACCCAGCAAAATTTCTGTCATTGTTCTGCCATGCCAGAAATCCTGGCCAGTCTGTGGAAAGACTCAGATTCACTGAATATTCCCATTCATTTTTCTTGTTTGCACTGAACACCAAATATAAAAGCTATTATCTGGAAAAGCTAGTATTTAATGATAAACTACCAGATTCAGGCAAGTAAGTGAGAGCTGTTAGGAGAATACATTTCTGCTGGAGGGACCTATCTTGATCTTATTTTTCCTGACTCTTTGCCTCGTGGGACTGTTCCTAAACTATAAACATGCTGGTTAATCTATCAGAGTGCACAAATTTTCTTCGGTAAGAGTGAGAGTCAGTTCTAAATCCATTGTAGTCTCAACACCCACTGAGTGTTTTTTGCAGCTGGAGAATTTTGCAAAGGACGTTAACCATGCTAAGCATTTAGAGAGGTCTTGGCATGCAGTCCATAGTTGTGGAAGATGGTGACCATTAAACAGACATTGACAATTCAGCAGAGACTCATCTATCCAGAAGGCTTTCTGTAGCCTCTCATCAGTTTGGTACGTTTTTGGTTTTTTTTCTGTAGAAGAAATGTCAACTACTGGAAGAAGAGCAAAGTGACATCTCCAAGAAGGAAACGTGCCAACATGTGGTACAGATTAGGAGCTAGATCTTAACAGTTCTTTCTCATACAAACTTCAATTTATTTCAGCAGGTTTAGGAGTTTTTATTAAGTAATTTTGTGTATTTGAGTGATATCAAGGGCTGAACTACTTGTAGACCTGACTTTTAAAAGGAATAATAACATCAATAAAGCCAGGTTTTAAGAAAATAAAATGTTAATTTTTAACTGCAGAGGAAAAAGTTGCACATCCTAAACATTAGAATTCTTTACATTGGTGATGTTGTATCTTGAGAATATTGTGTCCATTTTTTGACTGAGAATTTAATACTATAAAATTAGATATATTTTTCCCTATACATTGTAAGTATCCATCTAAGAATTGAAATCAAAGAAAATATTATTTCGAGTCTGTCCAGTCCCACGTACTACCAAGATGATCATTAGGGACCATAAGGGACATTTACAAAATAAGATAAAAATCTGTGGAAACCCGTGGTGTGACTTAGTTCATCTGTCTTTCAGGGGCTGCTTGCTTATGACTTTGCCAAATGCAGCTGAGGCATGAAAGGGGCCTTGTGCTGATGTGCTTCATATAGATTTTGACAGAGCAATCTCCTTGGCATGACAAGAAAGGCTTGAAATTGCTCTTAGAATTGTGTATCAAAGTGCTCTGAGGTTCCAATTAATTTATTTACAGAACAAGGCATTATGATTTTGTATTTCCAGACCCATGTTTGCCATCAGGGAGGTGTGTTTGTTAGGCTTAAAAAATTGTGGTTTTAGCTTTCCATTATTGAAATACACGTATTGTGTCACACGTTGAAAAGCAAACACCATCTGGTCCAAAGCCTTAATCCCAGAGAGTAACTAGACCACTCTGCAGTGCAGAATGACAAGGAATTTTAAACTGAAAAGGGTTTGGTGACAATTCCAGTGATTCAAGCAACACTTCTGAAATAAATGAATGCAGGTCAGAAGAGGCAATGATAATGGATCACCAAAAGTAAATTT